TAGAGCTAATGGGCCAATCAGCATATAATTTATGGAGACCTATGTGTATTTTTCTTTTGGGCTAAACAGTTGTGGGGTACCTGGTAGGAGGACAAAAACCCCAACCCAAACAAGCAGGAGCCCCCCATCTTACACCAAACAAAGTAAAAGATGAGAACTGAAACCCAAGATGGCTCTGATCTGCATGTATGGCTGTGGCATTTGTGTACACTCATCCACATACAAAAATGTATACGTTTGTGCATGGGTGCACGCGTGCACACACACACGCACATACACACACACACACACTGCTACCAATATATTGGGTTCTTTTATTTAAGAAGGGTTTTACTTATGACTTCCATGTCTGTCCAAAGGGACCGCAAATAGATAGAGGATATGAATATGTGTCTAAATATAAGCCATATATTTTCAATGTCTTGAATAAAATGTAAAGAAATAGGATGTTCTGACTTCAGGAAATTCACACAGTCATTGATTGTGTTACCAAGGTGAGTTCACACATATTGCCATATGTGTGTAATTTATATTTTGACTTGCACTCACAGATGGAATTCTTATGTAAGCCTGAAACTATTAGAGGAACTGAAAATAGGGATAGGAGGTGAGTATTAAATACAGGCAGTAGTTGCAAAAATAACTGTGCTTTGATTTTATTCTTGTTATGTGTTCAGTTTCATGACTTTGCCAGTGCTGTGTGCCTCTTTAAAGATGCTTTGTTAAAAAGGCCTGCCAGGTGTATTTTCTGTGTGTCCTTGCTTCTAGAACAAATGCATATCTTTGCTCTTTGATCCATAAAACATCCTTGCTTTCCTTTTCATTTTATTTTAAAATCAATACATCATTAAAGAAAATTTGTCAGCAGATCAATGTTGAAGGAAAGTCACTGTAACCATAGCGCTGAACTATAGCTATTATCAAAAGTTGATTGTGTTCGCTTGTCTTTCTAAAAGGAACATGTATTCATTTATAACTAGTTACATACTTGATACAGTTACCATACATGATCAGCATGTCCTGCTTCCGGCACTCCTAATATCACACAGATAGTTCACAATTTCCATTTCAAAAGTCTTTCCTCCCTGTTTTGATTCTGAGTTCTTTGGATGAAGTGACTGTTCAGACCACATTTAAGAAAAAGCAGACCTGTCTTGGGATTAGAGAGAACCGTGAAGCTTTCTTCCTCATTTTATCCACACATGCCTGTGTCTGTTAGTGTGGACTCGTGGACACTTATATGGTCTTTGGTTTACAGTCACAACCTTTTTACTCAGTTTGTTGCTCATTCTGTTCTGTGTCTGACTCATTGGAACTCATTGGTTTGTTCTCTCATCCCTTTGGATACACCTATTAGTGTAATGATTGTTTTATACTTTCCTATTTCACAACAGAATAAATCACCCTTCCATCTGCTAGTCTTTCTCAGCATGTGCTTAATGCAGTATTTGATTCATCATACTGCAATAGCCAGGAGCTCTCCGAAGTTTTGATAAATGTTAGTCAAATATTCTCTTGGCCTGAGGTTGACATCAGGAAATCTTCCTCAATGTCCTTCCTCCTCCTTTTTGGGAGAGGCAGTGTCTTACCACTGGAGTGATCACTGCAGCAAGGCTGGTTGGACAACAAGCTTCAGGAAACCACCTAATTCTCCCTCCAGCATTGGGGTCACAGACACATTTCATCAAACCCTGGTGCTATGAAGATGCTAGGGATCTAAACTGAGGTTCTCCTTGAACAATGAGAACTGTACCCTCTGAGTCTTCTCCACAGCCTTCCCAAGTGCTGTTCTTTTTAGAATTCCTTACATATTGATTCAAAAAATACTCCAATAAATTTTCTAAATATTAATTTTTTTCCTTGGGAATGACATCCCAGACTCTGTTATCCATGACATCTGGACCCAATCCACATCCCAGACTTTCTCACCTGCCAACCAGTATCATCTTGCATTACTCAAATCTCTAATTGAAACATTAATAAGCTGGACTAACTTTGTGACTCCTATCCCCAGATCTGCACCTACAACTGGAAAGGCAGAGTTGGAGCTGGAAGATACTGGTAGGCCCAAAACATTACAAGTAACCTTCATTCTCTGTATCTAAGCTTTGGTGCTACATGGGTCAGAAACCCATATAGCAGTCCTTCACTATCTTCAATAATACCATGTATGATATATTTTATCTTTTCTGAGCTTTTTTGTTCTTCAACATGTAGTTATATATATATATCAGGAGAGATCCAACAAATCATACAAAGTCTTTGTTTGTCTAGAAACCTAAAGTAGAGAAATGTGGATTGAGAAAACTTCAGCTGACTGAGTTCCATCAATTTTCAATAGTGGCAAGTGCAGGTCAGTCAAAGGAAGAATGAGAAATACCACAGCTTTGTTTTGTTTTCCTAAATGGAGAAAAACTAAGCTTTAGGGCTGTGTTGACCTCAGTTCTTCTGGAAGTATTCTATAGTCTATAAATAAGATTTAACAGTTTATAAAGCAAAACCCACAGACTCAATATAGCACAGAAGTAAAATACCTGACAAACTGACATATTTTGTCTGTACTTAACATCATTCAAAAGTAGGGAACCCTGACTGCTCTTTGGACTGGAGAGGGAGGGGGAGAGGAGTGGGGGGAGGGGGAGAAGAGTGAGGGGAGGGGGAGAATGGTGGGAGGAAGGGGAGGGAAATGGGAGGCTGGGAGGAGGCGGAAACTTTTTTTTCCCTTTTTCTCAATAAAAAAAAGTTTCAAAGTGAAAAAAAAAAGAATATCACAGTCGTCTCTCTAGAAAATATAAATTTTCTGTAAGAAAGTTAAAGTAATTTATGTTAAACTTTCATATTTGTTTGAATATCCAGATGTTTGATATCATTTAAAAATAAGAGAATACTACATTTTATATAATGTCTTTAGACTCATTTTTTATTTTATGTCCAATATTTTGCCCAAATACGAGTACACCAAATATGTGCAGTACAATCAGAGTTCAGAAGAGAGAGAGCAAAAGCTTCCTTAGAAATGGAGTTCTAGATGGTTATGAACTATCGTGTGAGTGCCAGGAACCAAATGCAGTTTTCTGCAGGAAGAGTAAGTACTGAACCATCTCTCCAGCCACATTAACCCAGCATTCTCAACATTGCATAAATATATACATCCAGGAACACACCTGTAACTGAAGACTGAAGGCCCTGGCTAAGTTTTGGATGACATCACCAGTGATTTGTTAAGTCTTTTCTTTTTTTTTCAGTTTCTCATACACAACTGTGACGATGAAACTAGGCTTATATCCTCCTCTCAGTACAACTTCCTTAGAAAATGACATTTCTTGTATGCTTAAAACATTGATTTCAAAATTAGATCAGTTATAAGTATTCTCTGAACAGGAAACTATGATGTTTTCCCAAATGACTACCCAAGACCCCATACTGACTCTGCAGCTGTTTCTATGTCCTTCTAAAACGGATTTTCTAAACAGTAGGCAATAAAGTTTTCAAAATTAGTGATTAGATTTAAATTCCTTATAAATATTCTCATCACACTTAGAAATAAAATATTTCCAGCCAGGTGGTGGTGGCTCACACCTTTAATACCAGCATTAGGGAGGCAGAGACAGGCAGATCTCTATGAGTTTGAGGCCAGCCTGGTCTACAAGAGATAGTTCCAGGACAGGCACCAAAGCTACAGAGAAACCCTGCCTAGTAGCCTTCACATAGACAATCTTCTCCCTGTCCATCTTCTCTCTTTCTCTCTCTCTCTCTCTCTCTCTCTCTCTCTCTCTCTCTCTCTCTCTCTCTCTCTCTCCCTCTTTCCC